TTTAACTCTTCCTTGTAGAATAAGCCAGTGTCCTGAGCTCTATGAAAACCTTTCTGCTAGCAAGACCTAAAAAACTCCTCTACCACAGGAGAAATAATCCCCTACTATATTCTTTTATTTAATATGGTATAGTACTACTACACTGTAATAAATTGTAGTTTCATTAGCAGCATGGACAAGTTGAACCCAGGAAACTTCAGGTGAAAGGCTAGTTATGTAGTTCCTTGAATATCTGACTTCATTCAGAAGACATCAGGATCTTCTGATAAAAAGCAGATTCACCTGTTTCACCAGCCTCCTGGAAGAGTCTGTGTTAGAGCACGTATGTGTTTCTGTGGAAACAGAAAGGATTACTAGCGGTTTAAATACTTGCATACTGATTTATTTGAGGCCACAACCCTCAGGCAGTTAATTTAATGCATGTTTTAAACCACAGCAGCAAGAAAATGATAAGCCATCACTTGCTGAACGTAAGGATTTATGGTCTGCTGCAGAGATGCAAATAACTGGAGTAAAATCTCATCAGAATATCCAGGAGGGTGTAAGCAATTTTGGGGCAGGGACCAGGACAGCGCACGTCTTCTGGACGGTGCAAGATGGACCTTTTGGATACGTGATTATAACTTCGGATGCAAAGTAGTAATAAAGGAAAATCCGACAGTGGGGTAGGAAACGCATTTTCTTTTACACCATCCTGTAGTAAGACAGACAATCACTGGGTGGCACTGCACCACCACAGTGCTCTGTGGAACTGCCCCCTAGCAGCAGCTATTTTCAACCCAGTGTTGTTTCAGAAACGCGTTCCGAATAATAACTGTCACAAGGAGACATAATGGTGTAAACGTATATAAAAAGTTTGGACCTCATCCATGAATAAACTTTTGTTCATTTTACCCAGATAATATAATCAATAGGGATTCTACAGTAAAGAAAGCAAAGTTTGTCTAACCATTTGCTTATAGTAAAATATTATAAATGTTAGTTTTTTTACATATATTAAAAACGTTATTTACATAAGTTTTTTGCATGCAAGTATTGTGGTTTTCATATTGCCAGAGAAATCAATTGCAATCTCATGGTCTCAGCAGCAGTGACACTGCAGATGCTGTCAGTGGGCTGACGGTCTGTCTGAGATGCACCCAAAAATCCAGTTTGCCTCTTCTGAGTTATATCAGTTTGGCAGTATTAAAAGGAATAAGAACGTACAAAAATGTGCTGTGATTTCTCCAGTCACAGAGAGATGCTAAGAAGTTCTTGATTACTTAATTATCCAGCCAACTTTTTACTTTACTCTTTCTGAAATCCTCTCTTATTATTTCTAAATTGAATGATAGCTCTATAATGTGAACACTTGCTCTGATAAACTGGATTGAAGCTCTCTACTTGCTCATAAAGATCATGCAGCAAATCACGAATAGCAGCAACCTTGATCATGTTTGGCACTGGAGTTGAGCCAACAATCTCAAGAGGCAGAAACATACTATATCTCATTACCATTTTCCTAAAAAAAGTTAAACCATGAAAATGTTTTTGATTAATAGAAATAAGCCTAATAAAGAGTTTGGTTGGCTCTGAGACAAGCTGAAGCTGACAAGAGTGCTGTGTATAGTGTGCAATTACATGCACTACATTAAAAAATAAAATGGATTAAAATGTTGGAAAGCAACAGAAGTTAGGACAATAATGTTGGATCCATGCTGAGCTCACCCTTCCCCAGCACCATCTGAAATGGCAGAACTATTTCCTACCCTAGGTTTTCCTCCCAGTTCCACAACAAGGATTGTGATGGTTTGTCACACCTATTAGAAATTCCTTATCCTTTGCCCTTCTCACAGCCAAACCCAGCAGACCTCCCAGAGCCTTGAAGGAAAGCAGGACTCTGCTGCCTTGGTTCATGATCATGAATATTTGTGGTCACTTAAAGAAAGAGTTTGAAGTATGTCTCGATTCACAGTGTGCTCATTAGCAGAATCAGCTCCTCCCACTATGCTTTCCAACAGCCTTTCTGTTCCAACAGCAGAATTCACACCCTTATCCTTGACTCCTGTGCCCCTCGCTCATATTTCATTTTTCAATCACCAAATCTTCCCCTAACTGAAAACTTATCTGGCATCTCTCACCACTCGACAACTGAGTCCTCTGGGAAGAAGAGGCTCTTAAAAACCCTCCTCGCATAATACCTAAGAAAGACTACAAGAGTTGCAGAGATTAAAGGTGTTTGTAAGGTCATATGTAAGATGAGGACACCATCTGGCAAACTGCGAGAGAGTGACCCCCACCTCCCCATACATTTCCTTGCATGGTAGCTGGGAGCTGTGAAACATTCACAGGTAGAAGGGAATTCCCCAGTCCTTTCTCCCCTTGGGCTGCTAATACTCTGCTGGGGCACACCAAACTGGGCCTTCAAAAAACACTGTGCCACCTAGAATCCCATCCTGATGCAGTCTCCTGCAAGTGTACGCAGTCACGTGCAGTATAAAAGATATAGCCATAGCAGGCATCACTTGAGCATGAATCTCCCTCCAGCTTGACCTGCAAGAACGTGAATCCCTGTGTGTGTTCCCTGTGAGCAGCTCAATATCCTCTGCTCCTTGTGAAGGTGACAGCTGGAAGCTGTACTAAAGCCTGTTTCGCTGCTGCCTACACACAGCTCTCTGTCATATCCCTATTCTCTCTCTACAGAACTTCATTTTTTATTTACTTCTTGTAACAGTTTGAAGATATAGTGTTTGTTTTAACAGATTAGAAATACTAATGGAAAGAAGATAGAGGAATTACATTGTTCTGATACATCCAAAAGCAAGGGGAAAGTTACCTAGAGTTTAACACTCAACCCAAACCTTACTCTTGTTCTACTCCTGCTAATAGGCTCTTAGAGCCTACTGCAGAAATAGCATTGTTACATCTAATTTCTGCTGCAGTAGAATTCATGCAACAGAATCACAGGCTACCTCCCAGCGTGCTGCAGCACTGTTACACCATAACTCATGGCTTCAGGTCCTACCCAACATCTGAGTAAGGCCAGTAGAGCTTGGCTCATTATTAAATAAATTACTGCCTTCAGCAAGATAATGATCTTCAGCCTTCTATGGTGCAACAACAATAGTCAAACAATGAATCATGTACTGGAGTTGTCAGGAGATGTGATTTCACCTTTCCAGCCTCTTCTGAACTGCTGAATCATATTAAAAAAAAAAAAAAAAAAAAATTAGTATGTTTTGTTTTGACTTTTCTATTTACACGTCTAACATTACCATAATCTTCCACCATCTCAGAAACAGAAAGGAGATCCTAAATGGGATAATGAATATGTAATAGCATCTGTTAAGATACACAGGACTATAATATGACAGAAAACACAGCAACAATAGCAGAAAAGCAAAGTCCTAGACTACCGTAAGCAAGGATACACTCAATACACCAGCCACAGAAACAAACTTAAAAAAAAAAAAGCTACTTATCCTAGGAAGGCAATCAGGAGGCAGGAATCTCCAACAAGAGACTCCCCACTGTCAACCCTTAAATGAGGTCTGTGAAAGGTTGGATCCTGATTCCACCCTTCCAGTCACTCAGGGGCATTGCTTGCACCTGTTGCTTGCACCTGTGCTCCCCTGGGTTGGCCCTGCCCTCCCACCAGGCACTCAATCATTGCTTCAAGCTGTGACAGCACTTCTGCTGTAAGATGTGAGCCCTTCTTTTTAAAAAGTGTTTAAATCTGGTGCATGCAGTCTGGTGCAAAAAGTGTTTAAATCTCTAGTGCATTGCTATTCTGTTGTATCCCAGGAAAATTTAGATGAATGCAAATCACAGCCCTCTAACCTGTAGTGATTTGTATGTTCAATGTATGTTACATATATATACACATGTGGTCAGAATTGGCAATTACTACCTTATCAGGCTTTCTGCAGGTGGTATTTAATAGATGTTTTCCCTTGGCTTAGGTGACGGATATTTGCAATCTTGGAGCAGGATCTACTTTGTCTCCTACTGCTGCTGCATAGTTCCCAGGGGAAACAAATGCTGCTCTGAGACAGGCCAGGTCCTGCAGCAATAGTGGGAAGATGCCACACTACTCCTGTGAGAGATGATTTTCTTACACTATAGCATAATGGGAAAGGAATGTGCTAACAACACCCAGGTTGCAAACAGACTTGAATAAATTTGATTCAGGCACTGAGGAAACCATACCCATCCACACAAATTCATAAATGCAAGCCCTTTGAATAGCATCAGAACTGTTCATTAGTTCTGCAAGGACTTCAGGAAACCCAAAGAAGCCAACTTAACAGCCTATTACAACTTGGAAAGCAGCTGCCTTCAGTGCAAAGCTGTACCTTGCATTTGATACTGTAGAGGCAACAGTGACTCCCACTACACATGGCCCTTAGACAACCAAGGCAGCAGTGCAGGAGAACATGCAACGTCCATCCCAGTGTAAGGGTCACTGCAACGCTGTGGGAAGAGGAAGGGTACGGTAAAGATCCCACAACTCAGCCAGGCGTTACTAAGCGCTGTTGCTCAAACCCGTTTCCCTTGGGCTGTGATAGGAGTTGAGCAAACTTGCTAGGTCTATAAGGAGCCATTTAAGCACAGCAGTGCTTTACCTGGAAGTAGTGCTGGAAACCACCTTTTTAAAATCCGTGACGCTGGCCTTTCTCTGTTATTGGCTAAGTGAAGGGGACTGTGCCCCATCTCCCCACCCCGCCAAGATAGCACCTGGGGCAGACAGATGCACGACGTCCTACTCGTGCCAGCTTTGAGCCGTGCCGACAACACAGCGGTCCCAGGATCCTCTCGTTCCGCTCCGTCAGAGCCGGGAGGAGGCGAGGTCGCTGCTCCGCACACTCGGCGCGACCACCAGGAGGTCACAATACATCCGAGAAGCAAAATGAGAGCATTTCCTTTCCGTCCACGGTGCCCTCTGCACAAAACCATCTGGGAACCGGCGGAGAGCTCAGGGAGCAAACTGTGGCTTGCGGGAGGACGGCAAGGCTCCTAGGGCTGGCAGGGCTGCCTTGAACGAGGGGAAGGAGGAAAAAAAAAAAAAGAGAGAAAGAAAACCCGCTCCGGACAGGCTGGGCGGGTCCCCCTGCACCGCAACGCACCTCAGCGAGCGGGGAACGGCTGCGAGACACGGAGGGTGCTGCCCGGCACGGTGCGGTGCGCTGCGGTGAGTGTGCGGGGCTGGGGGCAGCGGGCCCGGCGCTGGGAGCCGGAGGGGGAAATGAAGGAAACGGGGTTGCTCTGCACAGGAAGGGCGTTTTGCCTGTGTTGGTTTGGGGAGAAAAGCTGCTGAAAGAGGAGTGGCGTTTTGGTGGGGTTTCTCCTGTGTCTCTTCGTGGGGTAAGTCGCTTGTTGAAAGTGCTCTCCGTGCTCGCCCTGCAGGCATCAGGAAGGATCAGGCCCCTGGGCTGGTTTTCTCCGGGACGCAATGGGACAGCCCGGATCTCCGGGCTGGAGCGGCGGCCGACGGCTCTGGGGTTGCCTGCAGCAGGGCAGGGCTGTGAAACAGAGACCTCACGGCCACCTCTGCTTGGTGGAACCAGCAGAAGTGGGACCTCATGTTGTGGTGGTCTCTGGTGCGATCAGTTGGTGCAAGATGCAGCACTGCACTTTGTGATTGGTGTGACATGGCTTGAGAGTAATTCGTGTTACAGAACTTTTCTGCCTTTCATCTGAGGTACCATATTGCTCTCTGATGGGCACAGAGAGATGGAGCAGTGTTTTGTCTAAGCTGCTGTTCCTGTGCACAGGTATTTCTTTTGAAGATGTTTGGTTGGTATTTGTAGCTCTGATGGGAGCTGGTCAGATCAGGATACTGGAGGTTCTGGGCCATAAAACTGGCTCAAACAGCTTTCGCAGCCTCTACATCTTCAGCTTGCAGCGAAGGGAGCAACCTGCCACAGGATGAGGGGTAATGACTTTAAGTTGCACAAGGTGGATCAGGTTGGATATTATGAAAATGTTCTTGTCCGAGAGTGGTGAGGTACTGGCACAGTCTGACACAGGGAGTCACCATCCCTGGAAGATCTGAAGAAAAACAGAGATGTAGCACTGAGGGGCATGGTTAGTGGGTGCAGGGGGGGTGGGTCAGTAGTTGAATTAAATGGTCTTTGAGATTTTTCCCAACCTTGATGATTCTGTAATGCTACGGAGGAGTTGTCTTTAGAGCTGCCACATTAAATTCTTCAGAAAAGTAGGGTGTGTTACTGTTGGAGTCTGTTACATGGCCAAGCAAGATGAGCACTACTGTTGTCTTTAAGAGAACATTTCTATTAACGTGGTTTTAATGAGTGCTATAGGCCTAAACCATAGCCAGTGCATCCCCTTTGGGCACAGCTATTTGGTGTGAGCTGCCAAGTGAGGACTGGGCAGGGTGTGCTGGGACAGGATTACAAAAACACAGCTGCTTTTGTGAGGCTTTGAGTTTGCTTTGGTGGAGATAATAATGTTCTTGTACAGCTCTGACTGAAGTTACTCAGTTTACCTTCATAGATTAAAACAGAGTTTACCTTCATCTAGTTTTAAAACCTAGTGCTCCCAGTTCTCCTTAATACATTTGTAAGGGTTTTCTTTCTGTCCTTGGGGAAAAGCAGAGAATGAAAATTAGGCATGGAAATTGGAAAGCCTTGTTTTTAGCACAATAGATGCTTCATACTGCTCCCGTGTGAGAAAAATATGTTAAGTATGATTGCCACAGAAGTAGCAAGAGATCAGAGAGCCAATGTCAGTAGTAATGAAGCTCTGAGGACTCAACTCCCTGCTGGTGGATGATTCTGTGTTTGCTGCGTGACGGGGGTACGCATTTGGTGTTTGCATCAGCAGTGTGCACAAGGGAAGCTGGGTACCTGTGTCTGCCCAGGGAGCCATCCTTGTTTACATAGAGTTCAACAGCAACCCCTCCCTGCCTAACTGTCTTCCTCTTTTTGTTGCTCAGAGCATTACAATATATGAAGAAAAAACTTTTTTCCCCTTCCATACAAGTCAGACTGAAGAAGTCCGGTCAGAAGCAGAGGAGTTTTGCTCTTCCTGAGTGATTGCTTCAGGCCAAATGACAGCCAGTAACTCTGAACTCTGTGTCACACTCCCATTTCATGCTGTGTTGGTTGTCTCCATGACAGTAAGGGCTCCTGTGTGCCTCTGCAGCCTCTGAGGTACAGTCTGTGCTTGCAACCCTCCTTATGTGGCGATGAGTAACAGAGAGAGGAAATCTGACCCATGGAAACTGATGTTCAGCATGCTGATCTAGCTCATTTCTGAGTTTGTATTTTATGCAAAAACTGTGGTTTTCATAAGGACAATTTTAGTCAGGCTTCTGCAATAGCCTACTTGTTGAATGTTGGTTCAGTATCTTGGGGCTTGCCTGCAAAAAAAGTTCATTCAAATAGAGTGATATAAGGAAGCATGCTTACTGAGAGCTACTGGGGGAAAAAAGTACACCACAATATAAAAGTCAGCTCCCTGAGTGCACTGAGTGTATTAGCAAAAAGGGTGGTTTCGTTCTCAAGCTTTATTACTCCCTCCTTACACAACTGCATCCTTTCTTAAACAAGATTTCTCATGTCAGCTTTCAAGCTAAATTCAGCCCCTGTCAACAAGGTGAAAACTCAGAAAAGTATTGTTCTGGGAAGCATTGAGAAATTCTATGAACTCCACAAGGAGCCTGCTCAAGTCTCTCTGCTGCCCCATGCTGTCCTATGCTGCACTCCTTGCTCCACAGAATTGCAATTACAATCCATAGCAATAGTGCAATGGAGAAAAGAGCTGGGGGGGGGAAGCTTAGATCCCCTTTAAAGTAGGCTGTTGGTTGGGCCAGCTCCTTCTCTCCCATTGGCGATTATAATCCACTCATGCTGAGAAAAAGCAGTTTTGCTGCCAGAGCATGTACTTTCCATCCTGACACATAATTGCTGGGTGGAGGAGAGAGGTAGAGGCTGGCTGTGCAGCTGTAGGCAGGGAGGAAGCTTGGTCAGGAGTGCCATGTACCAGCCATGAAATCCAGGTTTAGCAGGGGTGCTCAGCTGTGTAAGCAAAACCTTCTGCCCATTCACCCCTCAGCAGGAGGAAGAAGAAAGGAGGCAGGTAGCCAAGATCTGAGCAGGCTGAGGGATGGAGAGCCAGCCCAGGAGTGCAGTTATGACAGGGTTCTTTTTTTAGCTTGTTTTGGTTTCCACACGTGTGGGTCATACAAGGCTGGCTGAGCTAGTCTTGAATGTGAGCCTTGGAGCTGGGCTCTTCTGGCCCCTTAGCATCATTTTCCTGCTCTTCTTCCTGTCCAGCAGCACTGCTCTCCTCAGCTTTTTTCTTCCCAGCAGAATTTCTTGCTGTACCCAACTGGCTTTGAGCCACTACAGGACCTGGCTTTGCAGGCCTTGAGGGCTAACAAACAACCACTGCAATATTACAGCATGGATTCAGCCCTTCTGGGGTTGGATTTCCTGGCTCAGCAGCCTCAGTAGTGTTGTGGTGCAGAGGTACAGGAAGTCAAGGCTGAGCCTGTTTGTCCAATTTGGTCTCAGAGTTCAAGATGGAAATGGAGAAGTGAGAATGCAGATGATCTGCTCAGAGCAGGTACATGGAAGAGGGAGAGTTGATCAACCCTGACCAAGAGCTGCCAATGTGAAGCAGTTCAGGACAGCAAGGGTGCATCAGCTCAACCCTAAGCCCTCCAAGGACCCAGCTCCAAAGCTCAGCACACAGACATGCTGCTGCTTTCATCAGGCTTTGGATCAGAGGTTTGAAGTGGCTGTGATGGCAGCTGGGTAGGAGGGAGATGCTGCCTGTCCCCTGGCTGCCTGCACACAGCTGGGTGACCTCTGCTTGTTGTGCAAATGGACCACTTCTGCTGGAGGACACTTCGTTTCCTGTTGCATCTAAAATTTCATAGATTCTCCTCCCAGAATGCAGTAGTTTAACTTGCGGTTCTACACTGTATCTTCCTGCACACTCAGAGTGTTTCCTGCATCTTCTCCTTCATTTTCTGTTTCTCACATTAGCTCTCTGAACCCAGCTCCCCTAGCAAGTATTTCTACCTTGCAAGCTGCTTAGAGCAGCTGGATGACTTTTCTGAAGCAGACCAATCCCAGACAGAGCCGTCCCAGCCCTTACACTTATGCAGCTGCTAATTCGACCCTAATCCATTCTAAAGGAGAGAGCTGGTCGGTGAGGATGGAGTCAGAGGAGGGAGGTTCTTGTCTGCCCATATATCTGCAACTCTGACAGACCCATCGTGCCATTCTCACCTTTTCTTGTGGGAGGAGTTTTAACTCTTTCCTGATCTCTTCAAAGCTGATTATTTCAGGTCTTGAGCTTCTGTAATCATTTTACTGGGTAAGGAGGGGGGAGTTAACTATTTTAATCAATTCCTAATTTAGTTAACTGCATTATGTACCCCTCTTCTGTCTGAACTTCCTCATTCATTCTCTTTGTGTTTTGCAGACTTCCTGGCTGTGCTTTAGCGGTGAGTGACTGAACAGAGTCTTCTCTGCACTGTGGTGATCACAGTAATGTGAAGTTTAATGAGCACCTGCAAAATCGTGTAGCAGGTAAGTGTTCCAGAGGTCATTCTTCTTTCCAGCATTCACATAATTTGGGAGAGTCTCCTAGCTCTTGCTAGGGGATCTTGCAGGAGAAATGCTGTAAAGGAAGTGGTGTGGTTGATCATTTAGTAAGCTAAGTGTTGTTTCCAGCAGTAAGGGTCAGACAAAGACTACCTGATGTAGCAGTACTGAGAAGGTTCCATTGATAAATGGCTTCAGTTTGGAAGTTCAGTGTTAAGAAGCTCTTGCTTCTGGCATTCAGTGTAAAATTCCTCTTATCTGGTTGTTTGGTATTGTAGGTGTCTAGTCAGAGGGGAAAGCAGGCAGGAACTAAGAGGTACATGCTTTGCTGATAGCTGCTACTGCTATGCAGGACAACCTGACAAAGATACTTTACCCATACAGGGTGAACTGTGGTTTTTTCCCCCCCCCCCCATCCTACAAGTGTCAAAGCTGGGGGGAAAGGCCTGCAATGCCTCCTGATGGTCAGAGAGAGGACAGACGTCAGAGACAGCTGGATTGAAGTGAAACAGCAGCTCTTACAAGGCAGCAATGCACAGTTTTACTGGTCCAGACTATGCTCGTATGAAAATCTCTGAGAAACCCGCAGAAAGCAGAACTGCTCAGTGAAATCCAGAAATCTGGTGGTACAACGTTGCAAGTGTGACTTGCGATACAGTAGTGGGAAGGGAGGGAACAGAGCTGGTGATAGCAACAGCCACCAGAGCAGCAGTCCTGGCTGCCACAATGTCCTGCTGCAGCTCTGAGTACCTGTTACTTCACGTAGTCCATGTGATTTAATTCCTTTTCTTATTTGTACTGGAGCTGTGTCTGTGTTGGGTGGTGTTCGTTCCCTTTTTCCCATCTCAGTTCAGACAGCTGCTCTGCTCTAGCAAAGCTCAGTTCACAGCATTCCCTGGCTAGCTTCTTGAACCAGCCTGGATCAAAGCTGTGAGAACTGGCTCATTGCCACTGCCTGTGTGTAAATGAGTTTTTTTCTCTTTTTCTTTTCCCTCCACCACGTTTCATTATTATTCCTCTTCCTAAGGCAGGTTTTTCTGGCTGATCCAGCATGTTATTTATATCAGCGATATGTGCTTCAGGGCAGAGATGCTTTTTCAGCATTTACATGGCAAATATCTGATGCACCCCACTGCCATGCATGTGGCTTAGGAAAACCAACCATGGTGTTGGCAAGGATGAAACCTACCGAGGCCAACTGTTGCAGACTTTAAGCCCTTTTAGGCACAGTTTCTGATTCATATGGTTACTTCAGTTGCCTGGCAAAAGAAAATGTACTGTTCCTTCATTTTCAAAACCAGAGGGAAGAGCAGAGAAGGTGTTGGAGTCAGAGTAGGAAAGTGATATGTTAGTTCTAAGGAGTCAGTTGAGCCACCTGTGTGACTATTTGCTGCATCTTTCTCTGGGTTCACCCAAGGGACGGTGGGTGCCATCAACTGAAAAGACGCAGTCTGCTGCCAAAAACAAATGAAAACAATGAAACTCAACTTCAGAGTGCCTTGCTTTCATTTCTTCTGAATTGCAGAGGATTTGGTGATGCTCAGAGAGAACGTGATTATGAGTGAGAGCAAAAGATTCCCACACTGTCTTCAGGAAGAGAAGTAACTCCTTAAGACAAGATAGGATCTATATGTGCCAGAACCCCATGCAGGGCTTACACCTTTCTTTGGAGAATGCACACAGTGATAAGCAGAAATTCCTACAGATAGAGGTAGTTAAGCCCTAGTCTAGACTGTCTTGTGATGCAGAGATGAAGATTTGCTGGAAGCTTTTCAGAGTAAAACAAACTTGCCAAAAACCATCCAAGTAGCGTAGGCGGTGAGTGTAGGCAGGAGAGACTGTATTGCTTTTTCAGAACTCTTTTATCTCTATTTTTCTATTCCTAAGCTCTTGGAGAATGTTGATAAATACTAGAAGTGGAGCTAGGGAGATGCTCTCAAGCATAAACTGAGACACTTAATCTGCATGATACAGGCATGTGTTCGTGTTTATATCTGGATTCAAAATGCTTAGCTCCTAAATCATTTGCCCCCAAATGTTCAGGTACCTGACTGCCACCGGTTTCAGATGGGAGTTAAATTTCTAACTGTCTCTGGAGATTTAGCAACAAAATACCTCAGGACTGTTAAATGTGAGAAAGAGCACTTGGATTTTCTGTACTCCTGAGCTGCAGATGACAAGCCACTCGTGATAATCAGAGAAGACTTTTGTCTTCTCCCAGGCTAGGAGGGGCAAGGATTGAGATAGGTCTCTGTATTTCGGGTAGCTGTAATCAATCAGCCAATCCTCCCTTACTATGACACACCACGACGTAAGTTACTTGGTAATTCAGATAACTTAAGGACATAGAGCTCTGCTACAGTCCTACCTGGACAGCCAGCTCTGCTCAAATTAAGCATCAAGGCCACACTCCTTTGCAGCCAAATACAAAAGCCAATATGAAGGTGCTAGGATAGCATCTCACTGATGTCCATCTCAGCTCGTTGAGCCAAAGCTGCTTGATGCTGTTGGAATGAGCACAGATTATGATCTCAGGTTCTGAAGGAGTCACGAGACGAAATGTCAACTGAAAAGGATGTATCTGTGTTGAAAGTCATCCCCAGCATGTGTTCTTGGCTCAGCCCTGTGTTTGCTGTTAGTCCTAGATGCTTTCAGTCTCACATGCAGGGCTGGAAGCTCTTTGCTCCAAAGCTAAGCTCTGCTGCAGCAGAGGGGATTTTTTGTGCCCATGATAAGAGGCCCCACAGCTATGACTCACAGTTCCCATTACGTTATAAGTCAGTCTTTAAGTGTGCGGAGAGCCTTTCCCTTGGCTTTCAAACAAAGTTATCCTTTGTTGTGCTTATGTTATAAAGGAAGCAAACATCTGTGTTCGCCCCACACATCCCAAATGAAAACCACGTGGCTTCACAGCCCTCACATGTTTGGTACTTTTGCTAACAGCACTGCATGTTGCATCACTCCTATCCCGTTAAATCTTTCCAGAGTTTTTCTTCCCAGCAATCACTTTACAAACTGTTCAGGGAAGGAAAAAGCTGAAAGGTCTTTTGTTGGTAAGCAGAGGGGACTGAGCAAAGAGCACATAAAAATTATTGCATACAGTTGCAAGTAGCAATAGTCTAGTTTCTGAGTCACTCCCTCGGGTGGAAATGACTCTGAGCTAGTGGAAGCATAGTACAAAGGTGGGATGAATTGTTTTCTTATAAGAGTTATTTTTCTCTTGTTTTGTTTGTTTGTGTGTTTTAATTCAAACTGTTTTTGAAAAGCAGGGATAGCCAGCAGTACTTTGCAGCCAACATATTTGTGTGTGTACGTATCTCTTGGCAGTTTTTAGATTTATGACTCGCAAGCCAAGAATGGGCTTATTAATTCCCAGAGTATTTGTGTTGTTTCTGCTGTTCATTTCTAGAGCCACTGTGTAATGAAGTTAGAGAGCCTGATTCTTCCTGCAGATGCTGGCATGAAATGCAGACTGCCTCTGCTTAGACTGGGAAGTTATCCTAGAGAAAGTAGTTGTGTGAGTAGCAAATTTCCTAGTGAGAACAGAGGAAGCCTTGCAGTAAAAGTGCTCTTTACTGCTCTCTTCTTCTTCCACGCTCCACCCATTCCTGCAGAGGCTTTCATGGTTTGGTGTTTCTGCTTAATTTAAAGAACTATATTGTATTTTATTAAAAAGCTGGTATTTCAGGCACTCAAAAAAAGCATTGTTTTTCATTTCTGTGGTGATGTACTTGCTACAATAGTCAGCTTTAAAATATTGTCCCTACCCAACTGTTTGAATACAAGCAGCTGTAACTAGTTATCAAAACAATAGTCCAATATTACAAAGACCATCAATCTCAGCATTTCTGAGTCCTATTTAAGCCCTATTTATTCTTGGGCCTGTTGATCTCCTGATGTGACTGTTACTTTGTCACTGAGTCAAGACTGTGATGGAGATCTCAGATCAAGTGAATACCCAGCCTACAATGGCAATTTATTTTGACTGATTTTGATTCAGCCTCTCAACATGGAGGTAATTCAAAGCATGTGCTTTCTACTAACTGTAATATATGAATGCTCAGTGTTACATGACTGAAATGGGGCCTCATACTGTCACATGTAAAACAAGCATTCTGCAAGTTGTGTCTGAGCTGTGACTACATACACATGCACACTTCTGAGATGTGCTGGAGTGGTGTATCCCTGCTGGGAAACCGGCTTTCTAGTAATGTTTCCTCCAACTCTCTGCATACTGAAGCATTCGTATAATTGAATGTTTAATATGCAGTTAAGTCAGATATATAGGGATGGAGGCAATATGTTTGCCATAGGATAAGGAGAGTCAAAGTAACTGCTGCTTGATTTAATGACACTGCCTAAGTTTTTTTCACCTTCTTGGGAATTAACTGGGAGGAAGAAAAGGCAGGTTTAAATAAATACCCCTTTTTGTGTTCACACCAGCTTTCCATGAGGTGACTGTCCCCTATGAATCAATGAGCCTTGGCTGCCCACACATGCAAGGGTGACCAAGGGTGCAACAGCCAGAGCAGGTCCCATTGTGAGCACAGTGGAGGCCATACAGCATGTGTGCAGTGACATTGCTCCTTACGTTGTGGTTGATGTTACTGGGCTTTTGGTAGAGCAGTGGGGTGTCATTGTCATTTGTGTCCATCTGTACTGGTGAAAGATTGTGCAAGGGAACAACCTGGCTCCCATCACAGTTGGTTTGAGGAGGTGGAAGCTGGTGAGGCTGGTAAGCCAAGGTTGTTTTTTTTTTTTTTTATGTGTTAGTGTGCATCTTTTCTCCTCTGAAAAACACAAAAGTTTAGTCTACTCCCATTGTTTTCCTCTCAGTTAACAAGACAAAATTTATTCAGTTTAAAAAGCCAAGCTGTTCCTGGCCAGGATCCTACCATAACAGCTAACTGTGTGGGTGGGAGCCACATACACACTTCCTACCTTTCCCCTCACGCATCTCACAGCGAGCAGTGTGTTGCAGTTTGTGAAAACCCTTCCTGGCCATAGCAGGAGGAGCTGAGGCAGTGCACAGGCAGCCCTCGCTCACACTGCTTGCTGGTGAGAGCTGAGCTGGCCTGCAGAGTCAAATAGCAAAAGGATGTTGAGGCAGGGTGTTGAAAAACATACTCCTCATGCTATCAGTTTTATCTCCTGATCTCCATGGGCATTCCCTCTTGTGTCCAGCCTTACATAGAAGGAGTGAGTGCTTTGAGGGCATGATGTGGCTCTGTGCTAATTTAGCAACTATCACAGCTGTCCTTGACAGTGGCTGCTAGCTGCTGGTGATAGAAGAGAGGCCAGAGTCATGTTCTTTCTGTGAATACAGGAATGATGTGCTGCTGAAATGCTGAGATAGATGAAACTGAAAATCAAGTACCATATCTCTTTAGGTTTTGGAAAAGAGTATCAGAAGGCAAATAACTGTGTATGCCAGAAAGGGAACTCTTTGTACTATCCAGGTTTTAGGGGCAGGAGAATAGAGGTTGTGGGATATTATGACAACATCTTACAAATGCATATTTGTGCAGAGAAAGCTAAGCAGGAGGGAAGAGCCTCTAATCTTAAGTGCTTCTGCAAGAAGAAAAGAAATAGTTTATTCTACTTTAACTCACAGTTTTCTCTGGAAAGTTAGAGATTCAAACTGCAGTAAAGAGGAGTTTATGAGACATGAGGAAAAGCTTCCTGATGGCAAAGATAATGAATGACTGGAAGACATGCAAGAGGCTCCTCATCTGCTTCAGAGCAACTTGGGCACTCCTCTGCTTGGAATGGTGCTAGCAAAGTCACTGCTTGCTGGGGGCTTTGTGGGTCCTTTCTGTGCAGCCCGTTATGTAATAAATCTACTGGTCCTGAGGCCAATACAGGCTACACAGTAGTGTTTGCCTCCAGAGCAATGTCAGTGCAGCTCACGTGTTATCCACTCCAAATCTCACCATCTTTGGGAAGGGAGGGCTCCCTAGTCCCGTACACAGGATGAGCATCAGCATTTCCTTGGAAATAATTGATCTGGTGACCTCACAGGAAAATATTGCTTCCGAATGTCCACAGCAGACCTGTTGGGCAGGATGTCCGACTGGAGCTGTGCAACTGACCCCACTGGCACCACAACAGGCCTGGGACAGGATGTTCACGGATGTTGAGAAGGCTGATGTTCTCAATCAAGCAGCAAAACAATGGTTTTTGGACAAGCAGCCTTATCCAACTGCTGTCCTGTGGCCTTGAAGCTAACCTGGAATGGGGCTTCCTAAACATTTTTGGGAAGACAGTCACGTTGTTGTATGTATCTTGTGCAGTCCTGAGCAGGCCAGATGGCTAGGTCTACTTTTAGGCATGGTCTCGCCATCGAGACCTCTACACCTCATGCATTGGTGCATTCAGTCCTTTCCGCTGATTGCTTCGGTAGAGTGGCAAAGACAAAACCTGTCTCTACCAGTCCACACTCACCCAGCTGTGACAGTAACTCATTTCATGAATGTTCCATGCACTGCTCATAAGCTTTATCTCCAGAGGGTGAAACAACAGCACAAGTTTGTGCTATTCAAACTCTGTGTTGCTTTTTGTGTCTTTGTCTTTTTCTGGCTGGGCTGCATGTGCTGCAGGAATGTGTTGCATGCAAGAGAAGGAAAGGCAGGAGCCTTTGCCAGTGCTCCATCTAGAGTCAGGCTGTGCTGGCTCCTGTCAAAGCAGTGTGTAGAAGCTCACAATGGAGCAGAAAGTAGAGTACCTCCATTGCTGTATACCGGTCTGGGGACATTTTCTCATTGCAGCAGTGGGGTCTGGGCAGGCGGCAGCCATCTCGAGGATTCCTGTCTGAGCCCCTAGGCTCTTGCTGTCTATGCAGGAGCTATCCCCACTTGAAAACTAGACATGATTTCATGTGTTTAATACTTATGCAGCCAGGTAGGAAATGTAGACTGGTGCAATTTGTCCTTGGTCACCTTAAGGCTTTGTGTCAGCTTCTGTGTGTTTACCTCAGCTGCAGGGCTGCTCCAACCTCCCCCAGGGTCCACTGCCTTGCCAACCACACTTGGCTGACTCCAGTGGACCTGGAAACTCTTGTTTCAAGATAAAATGCTTGGGTGTGATGCCTCCCATGAGCAACTCTGCCTGCAGTGTCCATCCCATCAGGTAACCTTCAGGCCCCAACAAATGCAGTGCTGGCATAGGAGGCCTCACTTGATTCTGGTCTGAAATTCTTCACCATAATGGCACTCATCTTCTGCCCACCCCAGAAACGATTCTTCAGTAAAAATGGTCTCAAGAACTAGGCAGGTTTGACTGAAGTCCTGTCAATACCAATTCCTCAGTTCCCAAGAAAGCTCAGGTCAAAGCTGAAGAGCACCATGTTGACATGAAAGCAGCCAAATGATGAGTGTGGCAGCCTCCAGGGCTGGGAAAGAAACTAAAACTTAAATTACTCCTGCCCCTCCTGAATTTGGAAGAAGGCTTTTAGGGGAAGTTTGTCATCAGACTGTAAGGGTACTGATGTGTGCTCTGTTATTAAGTGTGTACAAATAAAATCACACCCTGAATTATTTTGTTGTTGTTCTTCTCAGCACAAAACAAGCAAAATTTGAGCAACAAATTCTCAGCAGCTAATGGCAAAGACCGCTCCAATACCTTTACAGTTCCCCTCTCTAGAAGTACATTTGCCTTTTTCCATGAATATCGATTCAGCAAGTCTATCCCTGAAGCTTGTTCTGTGAGCTGGAAGAAAAACTGCCTCCACTATCTGTACTGAGTCAGAAAAGGTCTTTTGATTGCTCTGTAAATATTGATAGGGAGATGGTAGGGAAACAGCAGTGTCAGTGGTGTGAGGTTGACTAATTAAAGTGCATCTTTCCAAGTTTTTGTCAGGAACAATAATACTGCTGTGCATCTCTACAGTTTCCATTTCTCTTTCAATTTATATGCTTCTTGCAGTTCAGAGCTTGAAGTCCTCAAGTAACAAGTCCTTGAACTAAGAGGAAACTTAATTTCTCTCTCAAGTATATACCTGCAGAGGCAGCAAACTGGAGAAGAGCATAGTGCATCCCAAAGGGCTTTCAGCAAACTTAATTCTGGAATATTTTTTATACTGAAAGTGTTCATTTTTATCTTGACTAGGTGTTCATAAATAGAGCGCAAGCATTTTCAGGCCAAACGACAATTTGTTTTCTATTGCAGCAGGAAGGGAATCGTGGGGCACCCAAAAACTCAGCAATGAGGAAGTATGGCTGGGCAGGCCTGAAACCTTCGAGTGTGGAATTTGTTTCTTCCCAGCAAGAAAGTCCAAGAGTAGGTTGGTGTCTGTTCTGCCTATGTCTCTCTGTGGTCAAAACATGCAGCAGAGTCCTTTGTAGACCTCAAGGACCTTGTGAAAAATTATATTTGTTTCCCTGAAAACCCTGGTTTCAAAAACTTGTCACCTTTTGAAAAAAACAGCTCCTATCCAGGTGTAGTTACTATCACTTTTTCAAATAGCTGCTTTTCTTGCTACCTATCAAAGTGAAACACAATGTGGAGCCACATATAAACTGCCTTTTGTGTCAGCCAAATTGCAGGAGGTAATTGAGTATGTCATAAATGATGTCTCAGAGTACTTCAGTGCATTACTGAACCACATTCAGTAGCATGACTTGGGTTTTTCTAATTCAAGAATCAAAGCTTCAGCTTGCTCCTATCTGCCTTATTGCTGAGCACCAGACAGAGCATGTTTTGCTTCCCATGATTCAAAATTTAAGGGGAAAATAATTCTGAGAGAAAATATAGCAGTATAAGAAGCCTTTGGGGAAAGAAAGGAGCCATTAATGAAGGAGAAATATTCTCCATGTCTTCAGAGAAGATGGCAGTGTTGCCGTTCCCTTCCCTCTCAGGCTTCCTGCATCATTCAGGACCTGCTGTGGGGCTGATTGTGATGCTCTAGCAAAGAGGCTCCTTCAGGCTTGTAAGGATGAGATGTGACTTCCACAGGAGCTGAGCAGGGAGAGCCACAGGTGCTCCTGGGGAAGACTTTGAACATACAATCTGCTGTTGGATGTTGCTGATGGTTGTTTTTAATGGCAACAGAACTATCAGCTGCTTTTATCTCCCTGAGTCCTCATTCCCATCTGGAGCAGGGATGGTACCTGCCCCCTCACTTCTCAGGCCTGTTTGGAGATATCATTAACCTTAGCATCCACCAAGTGCCAGTCACTGAAGCAATAAGTGCCAAAAAAATGCCCAGGAGGAAACCAATCACTGTGGGGTTGGAAGTGGGTTTGGAGGGACCTTTGGAGCCCTGGGACTACGGCAAGAGAGAGTGCAGAAGGTTGCGAGATGTTAGCCTGTTGCAGAGTATGGACAACGACTGTGATTTGAATGGAAAAAGAATGGTGTGCCCAGAAAATTGGAAAAGGTGCTTTGGGAACTTGCCTTCTTAAAACCTCATGAATACTTTTATTTTGTTTTTCATGCATGAAATGTTGCTAAATTTGATGTGTAGATGAAACAATGGTGTTTCTTTTTGTTAGTCTCCAGCTTGGAAACATTTGGACTCCCTCTCTCTTCCTCGCACAAAACTGTCTCATCCAGAGCAGGCATAAATATTTTTATCAAGCTTAAATTGCTTGGACTGAAGTTGAAAGCAAGTGAAGAGAGCAGCTTTTGTTATATGTGGAGGACTGGACCGCCCTAGCAGGCAGTGCTACTGGTTTCACCTGTATGAATTAGTCTTCCCATGTTAGCCAGGAAAGCTGTCTCTGATGAGATGTGGGAATGCTCTGCCTGTGCCACTCTTAGAGCTGACAAGGGCAGGTTCCACTGACCTTGGTTGCTGAGCATCATTAACCTTCAGCCCGAACTGGACTTCACGTTAGCCTTCATTTTCCAGTGTAAACTGCTATAGCAGTTTTGATCAGAACTTCCTCAGTTTTGAGGCTGAAAACAGGTGTCTCTTGCAAAGTCATGCTATCCTGAAGATGTTCTCATTTCCAGTTTTCATCCTGATTTGCCTCCAGATGTTGATGCCTGTGCAGCTTACTCAGGAATGATGCAGTGTACATGCTTCCTATTCTAGTCTTGCAAAATCAGCGGAGATATTCTAGACTTTTCAGTGCAATACAAAATGAATTCAATCGAGATGGCCAGCACTGGGCTGAAGAACTGCTGGGCTGGTTCCATCTGCTTTCCAGGTAGCCTTTGGAAGTAGTGTGGCCATGTCCAGCTGGGCATGAGAGAGTTTTGAAGGGTGCAAGAACATGAAAACAAAGCCAGCTTCTTTCAGCCATACACACTCGAGAAGTATTACAGTAACATAAAACATCTAAACAGGATTCAGGCAAGGCAAAGGAGCGATGTTGTACTGGTCAAGACTGCTGCAATGGCTCCTTGCTTCTGGCTGTGTTATTTTTAAGCTTGGAAAGCTCATATAGCCTGCAAGTGCACAGCACTAAGGAAGGGATCTCACCAGGGCTTCCTGCCCTGCCCCAGCAACCCGATAAAGCCTTTTGCAATGCAGGGTGAGTCCAGTTTATTTTTAAAATGTGGCCAGACATGGAGCTCACAGAATAACTGGAACATCCAGCTTTGGGCATTAATTCAGCTTTAATTCGTTGTCTGATGATTTGAAGAGTTAATATAAATGTAAAAGGGACAAGAAAGGCCAGCAAACTATCTTCAATGCAAAGTCTGTGTAAGGGTGTGCATCTGTGTACGTACAGAGGATCTAAAAAAAGGATTGTTAGTAAATGTTACACTGGGAGGGGCACTTCACATTATCCTGTGCACCGTGTGAATTTTCTTTCTGCTTGGACAATGCTACTCAACCCTCCTTTGCCTTGTTATTTGAGTCCCAGCGCTCTTATAAGCAAAGATAATCACATGCCAGAGGATGCAGTCCTGATGCATAGTGAGTGCTCACAGTAAGGGCACTTAGGTTTCTGCCACTAAGCCCTGAAGTTTGTTATGCACTAACAATAACAAAGCCCACTGGAATAGATCTGAGTTTGTTGCATGCTCTGTGAAGACATGAATGAGACTGTCAGAGATGTTCTCCTCCTTGCCTAGGGTCTGGGACAGCAGGATTAATAGTGATTAATAACAAACACCAAAAGTAAACAACCTGATACTTTTAAAACCACTGCGTTAAAGGAAATCCTTTCCAGTTTAAAAATGTTTTTCCACGTACCACAGTCATGAGGCGTTTTGGGGGCTGGGAGGATTTGCCACAGGCTGATCCTAACTCTGTCTGTAGATCCTGCTTGGGAAAACAAAACCATGCTGGCTTGTTCCCACCCAGGTGCACACAACCAGCACTGGTAGTGAAGATTGCTGTGACTCAACTGGCTGTGTGGATCCCCAGATGTGATTCATATGGAAGGTAGCCAGAATAGCTTGCCTATGCCACTGCCACATCTGCCTTTCTTCAACTCTAGCCTTATGGTGAGGGCAAGTAATAATCATCTCCAGCCCTGTTTTTTTTAATATCTGGGGAGGTCCTGCCACAGTACCCCAGCAGATTTGCAGTGGTTTGACAGTAGTGAATGGCTTCATCAATGTGTTTTTAAAAGCTGATATAATGAGAAGGATCCTTTCATCCTTACCATCCACAAATAAAGTTTGATAAAGTCTCTTTGAGAAGCTTAGTTTCTAACCTGTAGAAACAGGAATGGGCTTAGGAACCCAAGCACTTTGTATAGGGTTAGAAAGGATGCTGTATCTTTTATTCACGAGGGGATTTTTAACTTTTTCTTCCTGAGAGAATATACCCTGAATCATGGGTCATTCTGCCTTTTTTCTCTTTCAGTGAAGGAACTGCCATGCCTGTGGGAATCTTCCGAGTGTGCCTAGTGGTAATTACAGCTATTGTCAACCACCCACTCCTCTTCCCTAAAGAGAATGGCACTATCCTCGAAAATACAGAGGAAATCATCCAGAAGATGAAGGAGCGGGAAGAGATCCTTCGGCTAGAGAAGTTGCGCTTGGAACGGGAAATTGAAGGTCAGGAAGCTGCACAGAAGGTTCTGGAAAAAGCAGCAAAAGTAGTGGAGGATGTCAAAGAGGAAAAGGTCCAATGGGATATGTGGACTGCTCTTTCCATGGTCATTTTCCTATTGATCGAGCTCTGGAGGCAGGATTTCCAGGAGGGGAATTGGCAGGACACGGGAGCAGACGAGGATGACATGGCTGTCCTGGGGAAAGCATTTAAAGGGGTGGCCTTCCCTGACAAGGCCATCTTAGCCAGCTTCTATGAGAAGCGTATCCTGGGTACCACTGGAGACATGGCCAGGATGCGGGAGATGGTGGAAGGCTTCGCAGATGACCTGCTGGAGGCCTTGAGGAGTGTTTGTAACCGGGATGCTGACATGGAAGTGGAGGACTGCATGGGTGTGGGGAGCATGTATGAGAATTGGAGAGTGCGTAAACCTTTTGTCTGCGATCTGATTGTGCCTTTTGCACCCCCAGAGCCATATTGTTTCCGATCTCAGATATGGTGCTCTGGCGATTCTTTTCCCCCAGATGAACAAGGATATGGCACTATCAAGGTATGCAGGGCAGATGAGGATGAGATAGGTTGCATCTGTGACAAGACTAAACTGGGAGAAGATATGCTGTGCCTCCTCCATAGCCAAGGTAATGCTACCAGACTCAGCAGTGAAATGGAAGACCTCCTGTGCTTCAAAAATACGCAATATCTTGATGCTGACCAAGTCATGAAGTGGTTCCAGATTGCAGTCACCAAGGCCTGGAACAAAATTTCACACAAGTATGAATTTGACCTGTCTTTTAGCCTCTTGGACTCCCCAGGAGCCCTGAAGATAAAATTTAAATCGGGGAAATCAGTTGCCTTCAACCTCACCCCTGTGGTGCAGTACGAGAACTCTGATGTTTACTTCATCTCTCATTTCCCTCGGAACTGCCTGGCAGCAGACCTCCCCTCCAGCACTCACTGGTTTCTCACCTTTGCAGTGTATGAGAGGAGGTTCATCCAGATGATCTCCAAAATGCTGCCTGCCAATGCCTGCCATGTCAGCTGCCTTCAGATCCTCTCCTTCCTCCATGGGAAGCAGTGCAGCCTCACAGGTCCAAGTGGGCTCACCAACTACCACCTGAAGACAGTGTTGCTGCATCTGCTGCAGACACGTCCAAATCAAGACTGGGCCCCAGAGAAGTTGGAGGCCCGTCTACAGGACATGCTGAAATTCCTGGAGAAATGTCTGCAGGAGAAGAAGCTCTACCACTTCTTCATTGGCAATGGGAAGGTACCAGCTGAGCTGGGCTTCCCCATCATATTCCAGAGGGCTGAGCCCCTCAACCTTTTCCGTCCCTTTGTTCTACACAGGGATGTTTACAGAAAGACAGTTGACACATTCCATGAGATGCTCAGGAACACATCTGCACTGATAAGTGAGTACATGGTGCACATTCCCCATGTCCACACCAATGGGATCCAAAAGGAATCTGTTTAACCAAAGCCAGCAGGAATACACTTGTTCCTCTAAGCACAAATCCAGAGTGCAGCTTTCCAAAGCCTTATGGAAACAACTGACTTTGCCATTGCAGTTTGTTGTCTGCAGCTGAACCATGTCTGTGTCATGGTTTCTGCAATAAGGAAGAAGGGATGGGGGCAGAACAGAGAGAAACTGGAAGAGATGCTATAAAAGTAGGTTTCTGCTCCACAGTTGGGCTGGCAGGGTTTTATGCAGCTAAGAATATATTTTTCTACTGTGCCTCAGTCATGCTACAGTGGTGATGAGCAATGAACATGGCTAATTTATTCTGGTGCCTTCAAAGCGGTGGCGGTCTGCTTGCAGACAGGACAGTGGGAGCTGTGAGACCTATGGGAGGTGCAACATGAGCCTCGGCTGAGAAGGGGAGTCACTACTCAGGTCACGCACAGTTCTAGACTGGATGGAGATCTTAAGCCCAGCACAGCTCTTTAATTGAAAGGGAACAGTGGGTTTAAAAAGTGCATTTTGATAGGACTTGCAGCACTAATTTAAACAGTCCTGTCCATCAAAAACACTCCTGTGCTCCAGATATTTTTTCCCTTGGAGGAATATAACGGAGCAGTCCGCAGGATCAGTGTCTTGAGACCATTTCATTTTCCATTTTCTTCAAAGTAGCACAATGAGTGGATTTTATTCTTGGCTGTTTTCCATGGATGAATGGCCAGGAGCCTTATTTACATCATTTAAGAGAGAAATGCTGTTACTGGGTTCTGGCTTTTGGTTTATTTGTTTGCTTTCCTTATCTCCAGGCAGCAAGTCTGAAAACTAGCAAAGAGAAATGATTGCTGCAGGGTTTGCTTTTACTAAAGAGGAAACTCCTCAAAATTATTCTGTAATAAGCCTGATCTCAGGAGTCTGATACCAGGAGGAAACTCACTATCCAAATGAGAGAGCATAGCTCTCAGCGTGGTTTTAGTGAGGCCAGGACAGCAAGATGGCTCTGAATTAGGAGGAGAGTTGCAGGAGGTGTACATGAGGCAGTGTGGCACTGCTCTCTGCAGCTCTCTTGTGGTGTGTCATTCCTTTCTGCTGCCAGGTACCCAAGTAAAAGCTGCCTGTTTTTTGACTCATTATCAGGTCTCCTCAGTCCATCTCAAGGCTGCTACTTTGATGATGTTTACTCTTGGGAACCACAGGTAGCAAACTATAAATTTTTGTATTCTCTCTCCTTTTTTCCTTGTACAAACCATTTCTCCACTTCCTTCATGTCCGCTTGTGTCTGTACCCCCACCACTGAGGGACATTTTCTACACCAATGCAAAGCAAACTGCAACAATCATTTCCAGAGGCCTGCAGGGAGGTCGTGCTCAAGTAGTTGTGGTCTGAGTTACTTCTAAAATTGTCCTTAGCCAAGTGAGAGAGAAATGAGTATTTCTATGTCGTTTCCTGTCAGGCATCTAAATTTAGCCTATCCAAAGAACAGAAACAAATTTGTGACCCAGGTCTCTGAGGAAATGACACACAGGGTTGGAAAATAACTTTTATGTAAGGTTGAGCAAGGGAAGGTTGAGTAGAAAAGTCTATTTAACAGGATAATCAAACTTCTCTCTTGAAATGGAGGAACAAGGCTGTGTAACACCAGCCCTACAAGCATGTAAACAGGCCAAATCTTGCCTTTGCACACTTCAGAGCACTGCTGCTTAGACTCAAAAGGAACCTAAACTGATAGGTGCACTGAATCTTTTGTCCTTCATTTTCTGCATGTGTGTGCATGTTTGCTTTTAAACTCAAACTCACCCTGAAGTGTTCCCATGGGGTTGCTTGAACCCAGGCTGGAGCTGAGCCAAGGTATTTATGGATTTGACTACCTTGGAAGCAAATTCCTGGGCACAATTTGCCTATGCGTATGCAATATACTCATTTTGCCCCGAGCATCTTTTATGAGACTTGGTCTGTGCATTCAGGCTACAAGGAAATGAGCTGTGCTACAATAAGTCTCAGGGCAGAGGTCTTTGCCAGCCATATATTAATATGTATACTAAAGTTAGATACTTGTTCCATCTGGAGAGATGTGGGCAAACAGTATTTCTCTTGAGCAGACCTTTGTAGTGCTACACTGTGAAAAACATAATTTCCTGGACTGCCTCGTTTCTCTGTATTAAATCTTTTGCACACCAGGTACAAGGCCTCTCAGTAAAAGGCCAAACTCAGATTTCATTAAAGAGATTTATTATGAGACAGTTCGGGTCCATCAGCTGTCAGCCAGTAAAGTGTCCTAAGATCTTTTAGTGCCACCCACATTTAGTGCTGCCTTGACTGACATCTTGCTGGGCATCCATAGGAAGCAGCTTTAAAGGAAGAGGGTGGAGGTGAGGTTTTGTGATTTTAAGTGAGTAATGTTCTTTTAAAACAGTGTAAAGCACGAGTAACGAATGCACATCTCTAGTAATAGCCTGATCTCCATGAGAGATCCTAAGGAAGAATAAACAGACCTCTTTCTTGCATCTCAGTGCTGTTCTTACTATTTACTGACCAGAAAAATTACGCAACTGAATTCCTACTGCCTCTTCTGGTTTCCAGCCACTCCCTACACCCTCAACTTGTGGTTTTAATACTTTATTATAGGTTCTGTCAAAGCAATGGAATTAGTAGTGCCTTGATAACAACCACTGATGTACAACATAGCCTCAGGAGCCGTTCACCTTTAGGAAATGTCTTGGTCTTAGTTATTGTTGCTGTTCAGGAGGCCAGTGTCCTCTAAGGGGAGCTGTTAGTTCACTCTTTATTACGTGCCAACCACAGAATATGACTTCATCCCTCTCTAGTTTGCTCTGCATACAGGTCTTACAGGCGTATAAAGATGGATTTCAGCAAAGGAAACCAAAACTTATTCATTATTCAAGTAAAAGGATTTGGTGTTTGTTTGCCATATGTTTTTAATGCAAAGCCTTTGCAATGTTTTCTCAGTGGTGAAGAAATGAGAATTTACTCACTTCTAACAGCTTAGCTGCTGGTCACTGAGTTCTTCTCATAGGATCCCATATGATAAATGGCTTTATTTATTAACTGTCTTTTTTGTAGGATTTTTCTTCCTGGGTGTAGTTCAGAAGTACAATTGTAGTATGAATAGCCATCTTGGCAATGCAGATGAGATGGGTAATAATATCATAACTTTCCACCTGAATTCTTCCTTGATTCATGACGCTGTATTCAAACCGCTGCTTTTATAGCAGGACACTGTTAAATTTGTATAGATCTTCTCTTGCAGCTTTATTTATAATAAAGGAATTCTTGTACAAAACCTAAGTAAGTGTGGCCTGTTTTATTTCTAGTTTCCCGAAACATGTTTCTGAGATAGCAGAAGGATGGAGTTGGGAGACACCTGGTGGAATCCTAGCATAGTAAGCCCAGTAGCAAGACTCCCTGTGATGTTCTAATAATGTTGGAGATCAAGCCTTAAACATTTGGAGACATTTATGGCTGGAGATTTATCTAGTGCACTCAAACCCAACTACATGTTAATGCTCAGTTGGTACATGAAGTCACTGTCCCAGGAAGTCCTTCACCTCTTCATCAAAAGAGATAGAGAAAATGGCACAGAGCAATTAAGCATGTGGCAGTGGGAGGGGATCACTGACATACAGTTTCCAGGGCCACCACTCAGGTTTTTCAGTGCATACTGATGAGACTGAGTGAACCAAGAGGTTTGGTCTTAATTCAAGTAGGCGTGCTCAAAAGCCAAGCTTAAGTTGATCCATCGCTGTCTCTCTCCTTCAACTTTCAGTTTCTTTTGAAACTAAAATTCCCAAGAGAAGCATCACCAGCAAAGGATGCTTTTTTGACTTAGACTTGAAAGCAGCACCCTTTATTCCCAAATCCACCAATAGGCTCCTACTTACTTAGTCTTGGGCCAACCAGATGTAAGGAGTCAAAATTAAAATTTGTCTGTATTCTGCTCCTTTGCAGAAGTACCATAAAACTTAAAATGTCATTGGATTTCCAACCTAACATTCAGGATAAAGTGCAATACAGGCCCAACAGGTACAGCTGGGCTGAGCTGATCTCAGTAAACCACATTGTTAACAGCCTGCCTCATCTGTCACTTTATCTCTGAGGTGCACCAAGGGAGATACAATTCCTTGTATTGCTCCTACCTCTCAGTCTTGCTGTCTAGGCCTATGCTGGGAACCAAGCTGCACACAAATCCACAGAGTGACAGTACTTAACTTGCTAACATCTTCCAGATCTCCTTCCTGTCAGCTTACACCAGGCAGGGCAGAATAGCCTTGGGACAGTTCTTGTACCTGTAAGCACAAGTAATCTATAACAGCCTTATGCAGCTTCTGTTGCACACATGCTCCCATTGGGCAGAGGTATTTTGCACTGTCATTGTAATATTCCTGGTGATTCAATTCTCCTTTGGAGCCATGGGTGTGTTAATACAGCATATCAGTAATACAAAGCTCCAGTAAGGCAAAGCTTCTGTATGCAAAGATAATTAAAACTAAGGTGTGTCCACATGCACACCCCACACTGACTTTCTCCTGCCAGAACCACACCTGGAATAGCTTTGAAGGGAAAGTTTTGATCCAGAGCATGAACACACTGGCATAACACAACCAAGATACATAAAGCATACAGAGAAGAACTGAGAGGCGTCAAGTCTGTGAGTTTGATACAACCAGAGCATTTTCTTATAACGAGAACTAGCTGATTATCCCTGCTTAGCAATTATGAGTAGAGGACAGACCATGCTTTTGAAACTCAAGGTCTGTGATGCATGTACAGGAAAAAACAGTCACAGTTTGTGAATATGCCCTCTACTCTTGTTGAGATCTTCCTTCTGATGATGAAGAAGTGACAGCAGGAAAGGTACAAAAGCATCATTTGAGAAAACAGGACCATACACACAAAGGACAGTATTGAGCTATAATATCACAGTTGGTTTTCATCAGTTCCTCAGGTTGTCTCAAGCAGACAACTTTGTAATCCTTTTTCCCCAGCTGTCTCATGTCTTTGCTGGTGGGAACACCTGAGAAAGTCATGTAAATGGTTTGCAGTTTTCAGGAAGCACCGTATCCTCTCTTTTCAGCACTGCTTTTCTGGGCTACATTTTCCCTGGAGAGATGGCTTTTTCCATCAGTGTTGCCAAGAAACTGTTGGTTCTAAGAAACAAACCTGTAGCATTCTGTCTTAGACTGCGGTCTACACATCATGAGATGGCTGTGAACAGTGCAGTAAACATTCTGTACATCAGTCCCTTAATAAAAGCTGCTTTTTAACATTCTCCTCAACTCAGATACAACAGTACTGCTCACTGCTAAGTAGCATTCACATTGCACCAGAGGCACAGCTAAATCTTACTGACAAATTTTATAATCCCTTTCTTAGCAAATCAGCAAAATTTGCTTTAGGAGAAAAAAAATCCAAATATCATCACATGGCACTAATTATTTACTTAGCTAAAAAAAAAAAAAAAAAAAAACAACTAATGCCACCTCTGCTGACTTTAGACCTGCTGTAGAACACGCTGCTTCTAATATATGATAGGATCTGGGAATGATTTAATAAAGTGGCATCTGTTCTCATGACTGTAAAGAGACTGAATTTTCATCAGCCCTTCCCAAGTGAAACCACTGTCCAGGGAACAGAGTAATGAAAAAAAAAATAGAAACTAAAAAGAAAACCATAAAAAGACTAATAATAAAGAAAGAAGATGAGAAACAGGCAGTTCTCAGATCTTAACAACACAGGAACATTAGAAATGCCATGACAGTGGAAAATCAGAGAGAACAGGTCCAGAAGAAGTAGTAATGTGCCAACACATGCCTAGCACTTGCTCTCACACACAGCTATAAGCATAACAGCTATTAAATGAAGCATGACAAGAAACTGTGATTTCCTTTTCTCTTAATTTTTCTTTTTCTTCTTTTTTTTTGCCTATTCATGAACTCTTTTTTTTTTTTCTTATTTTTTTACCTTGTGCTGAGAGCAATTATGTTTGGTGGCACAACAAGGAATGATTAAAAAAATTCATCATTGTTTTGAAAAACAAAAGTACCACCAGCAACCTTCAAGAGCAAACTATGAAGTAGAAGATGAGTAAATACATCATTGGCTATACAATCTGATCCAAAGAAGATTTGAAGGGGACAACTAATCAGGAGCAGAGCTATCAATCTGCTTGATCTTTGTTCATTGGCTTCATCTTCTTCTGTTGACCAAAACAGGCAATAGCATTTTCTTCTCGGACTGTTTAAAATAATAATGTATTTTTTACACTCATACACAGTGAAAGGAGAGAGCCAGTCCATTTCACCAAACCTTTTTCTTTCTTTTGCAGACTATGCCCAAGTGTTGCATATTCATTACCACATCAAAAACACTTTGCCTGAGGTCTATATTTCCTGATGTGCTGTAATGGGTTCAGGACCCCAGCTGTCTACCAGGAGATTTAAAGCACTGATATTTAATAGTAAATTATAAGGTAGAATAATTCATGTTACATTTTCTTGCTGAAGTAGCATATTTATAATGGTATACTCTAGAGCCACTAAACAAAGATGAGAACACATCATTTCTGTTTGCACAACATAGTCTCCTAATTACTGTGGCCTGCCCTTAGCCACTTATATTTATGGATGCCAGCTCTGTTCTTAACCCATTGGTGGATCTCACTTAAGTCACATCTCCCACTATCTCCCAGTAAAACAGAGGAACAAACTGCAATATATTCCCAGCATGTTTATGGAAGCCAATTTTCAGCACACTTTACTAACTTCCTAACTAAAGCTTTGACAAGTTTTAAATAGAAGCAGAGCAACTAACAATACCAGGATGCTCTATAGTTAGTAATTCATCAAAGTTTGCTGCTGAAATCCCACCATATCATTTCAGGGAAAATGGCTTCAAGCACAAACCCTGCTATCATCTGATAAAACACCTATAGACCCACGTTTCGACACCTCACAGCATTACGATTCCTCCGGGTTCTCTAATGACAATCTACTGCAACACAGCATCAGATCAGGACTAGGAAACTTGTAGAGTATATCAGCATTCTGGTAGGAAACAGCAGACTAACTTATTTTTCTCCAAGTAATGCCAGGTGTATTTAAAAAACACAGATAAAACCAAGAGCAAAACCTGCATAGTGAATTAAAACTAGTAAGAGCATAAACGCCAATAGATGCAAACTCACATGCTCTGTAAGCTGGTAGGAAGCACCTTTGTTAGAGGAGTTCCTACTAATTCTTCTTCACCTCTATCTTTCATTTCTGCTTTCCCACTTAAGTTACACAAGCATGCACCTCCTCAGAGTTACTATGTGGGTGTAAGATGTGATATTAAAAAAAAATAATAAATCACAGAGTGGCCTGGGTTGAAAAGAACCTTAAAGATCAAGTTTCAACCCCCTTGCTGTGGGCAGAGCAATCACTAGACCGGGATGCCCTGAGCCACATCCAGCCTTGCCTTGAATGCCTCCGAGGATGGGGCATCCACAACCTCTCTGGACAACCTGTTCCAAGTGCATCACCACCCTCTGAGTGAAAAACTTCCTCCTAATATCTAACCTAAACCTCTCATCTCAGTTTAAGACCATTCCCCCTTGTCCTATCACTATCAAGCCTCGTAAACAGCTGTTCCCCCCTCCTGTTTATATGCTCCCTTCTTCAAGTACTGGAAGGGAGCAATGAGGTCTCCCCAGAGCCTTCTCCTCTCCAAGCTAAACAAACCCAGTTCCCTCAACCTTTTTTCAAAGGAGAGGTGCTCCAGCCCTCTGATCATCTTAGGGGCCGTCGTCTGGAGTCGTTCAAAGAGCTCTGCATCTTTCTTATGCTTGGGGCTTCAGGCCTGGATGCAGTACTCCAGATGGGGCCTCACAAGAGCTAGGAAGAGGACAGTCACCTCCCTCTCCCTGCTGGCCACCCCTGCTTTAATGCAGCCCGGGATATAGTTGGCCTTCCAGGCTACAAGTGTACACTATTGGCTCATGTCCAGCTTTTCATCCACCAGGATCCCCAAGCCCTTCTCTGCAGGGCTGCTCCAATGGCCAGAAGTTATACCAGAGGAGGTTTAGGTTGGACATTAGGAGAAACTTTTTCTCTCAGAGGGTGGTCAGGCACTGGAATGGCTGCCCCGGGAGGTGGTGGAGTCGCCATCCCTGGCAGTGTTCAAGAGGTGCCTGGATGAGGAGCTACGAGAGATGGTTTAGTAGCTTGTGGTACTAATAGGAATGGGAGGGTGGTTGGACTAGATGGTCTTGCAGGTCGTTTCCAACCTTGCGATT